AATATTGAAATAAACTTCTCGGGTACATCTTTCAGAAAATGACAGCGCCAGAGTTTAGAGCGGTCGACTGAATCGCAAGCCGCTTTTAGATCGAGGAAAATAAAAATGGTGGGTCTACGAAAAGAATGTCGGTGCTGCAGAGTTTGACGAACAGTGATACAACCTCGACCAGGCCTGAAACCAGCCTCACGCATGCACTCTTCACATGCGGCAGACAATCGACGGATACCAGCGAGAAGTTTAGAAGCAATGTTGATTAAACTAATTCCTTTGTGGTTTTCACAAGAGGGTCTATCACCTTTCTTGTAAATCGGTATGATCATCGATACACACTATTCAGTTGGAACCTCTTCCCTCTCCCACACGGAGCCCAGGAGTTTCGTTAACTCCCATGCCAATGCTAAAGCGCCATCCTTAAAAACGGATGGGGAGAGCCCATCTGGGCCTGAGGCCTTATGCCTTTTGAGGTGACTTATTTCCTGGGAAACCTGCATTTCAGATGGAGGACTGGCAGAATTTGTGCAGTCGCGGTGGAGAATGACAGTTCAGATGTCGATGGGGGTCATCGAGTGAAGAACATGGTTGTCGGTGGTGAGACACATTTCTACGGATCGTATTTATTTGCATGAGAAGTTTACCAAGTCAAGTGGTGAGTACAGAAGCAACGGTGACCAGCGATCATCCACTTGGAGGTCGGTTCCCCCCGGGCTCGGCCCTTAAACGACCGGGGGAGTGTACCAGATAGAACTGCTCGTGACACAACATATACAATCATTTTCTTTCCACATCCGGGGGCTTTTCATGTTTCATCTTCATCTACGTTTAGGCGAAACTAGAGATTCCATTTCTCGGTTTAGTCTCACTCATCACGCCATTGATTGAGTAGCCATGGGACTTCACAATTGAGCAGACAGAAGTATAAGACGCAGAACCTCTGAACTATACGAACGCGATCGTGGATACTACTTACAAACGGTCTGAAACTCAAATTACGGGGTACTTCTTCTCGGTTTTGTCCACCTTCATCCCGGCTTGAACAGAGTTCAGATAGAAAAAAAGGAACAATTAACAAAATACAACAGATTCTCCTATTTTCTTCAGATCCGAGTTCGCTAAGAGATAGAGAGACAGCGATAACAACATTATGCAATTTGGTGTTCCTTTTTCCATTCACATTGCTGGTTAACAAGGAGATCCCGATTCCGCTCGACGGAACGCCAGTCGGAGCGGGCGGGCGGGTGCATACTCGGGTCGAAGAAAACATTGGAAACTGGCGGAGGAAGGGAAGAACGTGAACATGGGACTGACATGGGTGGGTGGGTGGCTTCCAATGCGTCCAATGGCCACGGTACCCACGACACACACAGATATATATGTGCACATGATTGTAATGATCGTCTCTATCCGTATGGCTCGTGATATGGTCAGAGGAAAACGGGGGTGGGCCGGAAGGCGACTGAACGCAAATATTCGCGAACAGTCAGTTCGGTAGTAGGAATGCACCAATTGACTGACGTGCGAGTGAGGCACAACTCACGCACCGAATGTGTCACAGACCTTGGGTTTCACTTCCCATTAAATATGACGTAACGAATGCAGTCCGCGAGTAAGACAAATTAAAGAGAAAAAGATTTTGAGAGGAAATCAAAGAAACCGGACTAGTCGAAGAGACACAATCGACGGAGGGGGGCAGAGAGCAGGTATGTGCGCATCAGGTGGTCAAATCACGGAGACCAGATACAGCAACTGGGGTAGTATTGCTCCATCACAGATGACATACGTTACAAAAGAAAAATGTATTCGAGGAGTCTAGGGGAATGGGATACAGCACGTGACATACTGATAGAACAAGTTGGAGATGAAAAAAGGTGAAGAACGGGGACTGAAAACCCGGTGGAATGAATACCAGGGTCGAGATTAAATAAATGTTGCATTTGCGTTTATCGAATAACTTTTGGCGCGCGCGGAACGAGTACAGGTTTTTTACGTGATGTCTTCCTCGTCAGCCATGGTTTTCTTCAATTTTAGCAACAATGAAGTAATCCACGGATCAAGACGTGTGATAGTATCGTAGTCCTGCACGGCTGACGTGAACGCCTCAACGTTCTCCTGTTCCAGTGCTTCTGACAATTTCTTTCATAACGTGACGAGGGAGTGGAGAAAAATTCGAATGAGCTGAAGTGTTTTATACGAATATCAATGTCTCAATATGAAAGATGCAATACAGATGGGAAATTTCACTACTGTGTTCATTACGAGAAGCCACAATTCGAATGAAAATATGCCTAGCACTGTGATTTAGTCTTATCACAACTAGCCTATAGATGATTGGATCAAACGACCAAGCGGAGGCGTACGAACCATACCTTCCTGGTTAGGGGCAGTGGTCACTGGTTCGACCGGGTATCGAGGTGTTTTGGTCACCTTGGACATTTGACCCTGTCCAAAGGGTGTACCATAAACTAGACCNAAATTGCGTTTTTCATATCGCCGAGTGACAGCAAAGCCGCCTACCACTGCAGTTAGGTGGTTGTGATAGCGTTTGACTCTGTTATCCAAAGCGCGCCAGTGACAGTGAAGTACCCCCTCCCCCTTGTCAAACACCGTCTGGAGGGGATTAGCTAAATTCACACTGACAAAAAAGTTTGCCGTTATAGGACATGCTTTATTGCACTCATTGTGAGTATCCATTTTACAACAGAGATTAATCCACAAATAGGCTTATTGCATGGAATTAGCAAATCAATCTGACAAGCCACGTCCGCTCACAAAACGAGCAAGGGTAAGCGCTAACATCCCCTACAGTGCTGCCCGTGAACTCAGTCAGTGTTTCCGACAAAGCTAGCAATACGCAATTCATAACAACCCCTGCAACAACACCAAAGCACAGAATGTTC